AATGAAAAAGGTTGTAAGTTTCAACAGAACAAAATGAAAAAAATATATAGATGTAATGCGTTTGTTTATTTATTTTTCTCAGAGAACATTGACCCCTGCGATACGAGCACAGATGGATAACGGTGCTAGAATGTCATTATTATGGCCGAAGATTTGAAATGCAGTCCAGTCTTCAAGGGGGGTTAATGCACAATGAGGTTTTTGACGGAATCGCCAACTCCCCCTCAAATGCCCTTGGGGAGTTGTGGAAACAGAAGGTAAGCCAGAATGCGCAAAAAAAAACTTTTCGAATTTAATATACTGTTACGCACATTGGAAACATTCAGTGTGTGAGAGGAAATTAATGGATTAACACTGCCAATCATAAATTCGTTTCTTTTTTTTCTTCTTTTTCTTCCTAAAAAGAAATACAATGTGTGAAGCGGTTTTTAGTTACAACTATCTGGCCATGAATATTTCGAATTATAGTTAACATTTTTTTAAAGCTTGTTTATGGAACTATAAGTTTTATATTCTCAAGAAAATCAGTTCAACACTGACAGAATTTCAGTTCTAAAATTACTCTGAAATAACCGGCAGCAGTTCGTCCATCCAACCAACTCCAAAGTTTACGGTAAAGAACATTTTTTACCTTGCAGCTTTGGAAACCTTTTTAAACTAGTATGGTTAAAAAGCCCCGAATACAAATCTATACGGTATTCTTAACCATTTACAACTAGCATAGTTTCAAAACAGTAAAAAAAAACGAAATTTAACTGGACATAGGAGCAAGTATTTTCGTTAGGTAATGGGCATTGGATTTTAGCTGTTGTTGAGTTGTGTTTTATTAAATCAGCCGTTCAATGCGGTTTAAATAATTTATCCGGTTGTTTCACTTACGTAAAGTTGGGAGATACTCGACTTTGATTTTTTTATATTAAATAATTTTATGGTACTGCCATCCATGCGTTAATTAGAGTATCGCATTCTATTACTCCAGGGTCACAAATTGGAGAGAGCGGGACACTGGAAACTCTTCACATGTAGAAGGTAGTGGAGAAAATGTGGTGGCAAATCGAACCGCCATTTTGATGGTCATAAGATTGACAGATTAGCCCTCACGGCTATAATATGTATCTAGCTGCAAGAAGCTAAGAGGCTTCAGTAGGTAGGCCTAGTTGGTGCTATAAAATTCTGCTTCTTTTACCGTGAAAGTGGTTAATAAACTGTTTTTCTCACAGTTAATAGTTTGAATATCATCTTCTTTATGGTAATTTGAATGTTTCGTTTCAATATTTTAAAATAACAATGAAATAAATTGTTATTTAACTATTTTTTATGAGAAATTTCTAACAATAAACGTTGAGGCATAATATTGGCATCTTGAATCCTATTATTGTGCTCATTTGCTGCAACTTTTATAAAATGTTAAATTGAACCAAGTTTCTGTTGAAGTTGAACCACAGATAGCATTGCGTAGTCAAGTTTAAGAAGTACGATAATAATGTTCTACTTGACATTGTATTAAGGTTGATGCAAAATGAAATATCGGTATCTTGAACCATATTACTGCCCTCATTTGCTGCAACTTTTATAAAATGTTAAATTGAGCCAAGTTTCTGTTGAAGTTGAACCACAGATAGCATTACGTAGTCAAGTTTAAGAAGTACAATAATAATGTTCTACTTGACATTGTATTAAGGTTGATGTAAAATAAAATATCGGTACCATATTACAGCCCTCATTTGCTGCAACTTTTTAAGTGTGCAAATTGAAACATAATTCCGTTCATTTCGAGTCATAAATAGTATCCTGCAATCCATCAAGTTTAAGAAGTACTATAATACACAGAGAAAAAGAAATTTCGGTAAAATTAACGTACTGTATGGTATTGGTATAAGACCAATATTCTGATTAATAGAACCAAGATATACAGTACTTACACCTTTCATTTAGTAATTTTTCTGTTGATATGGTAGTAGTTTACCGGAATTTATTCTTATGTCTTTTAAAATTTTAGTTCTTATTACCACATATTTAGTAAAATACAAAGCTAAATTTGCAGAATAAATAATTTCTGTGTCATGATCTAAGGTAGTGTTTCCCAAAGTGTGGTAAGCGTACCCCCAGGGGTACGGGAACAGTTCAGCGGGGATACGCGTTCTTATGCGAAATATCTTAATATCTTGCAACAAACGAAAATTTCAAAAAATTTTATAAAAAAACGAAGATACAAGGATAGCAATGAAAATTTACGATTATGTATTTTTCTATTGGCCATTTTCTGCAGAGTTAAAAGTTAATAATTAGTGGTGTCAACAGCCAGTTGTGATTCTTAACTTTTGTGCAATTTTTTTATAGTAAAAAATACATTCATTTTTTTCATTAGTGGTACACAGACTTACGAAAATTTTAGAAAGGGTACTCAAAAGTCATAAGTTTGGGAAACACTGATCTAAGGTATCATGATAAAATTACCAAATTTCACCACAGTTGCTAAATATATATCATAAATCAAATAAATGAAATATAATTATCAAATATATATTTTTATCAAATTTATATTTTTATAAAAGTTTATTCAATTATTAGTTTTATTAAAATCGTAACCGCTACGGTAAAAATTATCAGGATTTTTGGTGCTTCTATAGAGCCAAGAACACGGTAAATTTTACCGTATTCGGGTGGTTTTGACTATATTTTTTTGCTCAGTGTAAGATTGATGAGAAATGGAGCGACATTAATAGTTTATATAGCTGTCACGTCTATTCGTGAATTTTTATTATATTGCAAATTGAATTTACCTTTTACAAACCAAAGAATGTTTTAGTCAAATGAGTAAATAAAAAAATTAAGAAAAAAAACTTGAAAGTTTAATTCAGCCACAAATCAGTATTAGAAAACTAAAAATGCAAATAAATTACTGAAAATGTGAAAAAATTTAATTGAAATTAATAATCTTTTTCCTCAGCAATGCAATATAAAGCTAATAATGAACGTCAGGAAATTCTCATTTACCTTCGTATTTATTTTATTAGTTTTTTTACGAACCTAGAAAAGAAAAAACTCGGCCACCAATTTTCAAAAGTCATCAAAACAACGTGACGCACAGTGTGAGTAGGTGAAACCAACTCCTCAATCATTCGAGTACGTGCTTGAGTGACAATCGTACTGTCACGAATTGGTGAAAAAACAACGAGACGATGACGAACTATAGATATTTTTCAATTCTAAATTAAATGACACAATTAATCAAAATATAAAATTTCTAAAGAGAAAGGTAAAAGTTAAAACAAATAATGCAGATGTCCAAAATGACACTTAGAAATAAGGACAGACCTGGATTTGTCTTTTCCAAGTGGGACAGAAAAGCAATCAAAATTTGTTAACTCAGAGCTCAACACTATAAAAATTTCCGAATCAAATTATTGGCACTATTGGAGCATAATCCGTAAAAACTATTTTGACCGTAAAATATTATATTGTAATTATAATGGTAATCCCGGTCATGGATGTTCTTTAATTCTTTGTAATATCTGTTCTTACAGTGGGAGCAACGTTGGCCCACCTTATATGGTGCCCCTGAAAGAGTGGCCAACAAATCTGTATTGTAAAATGCTTGAATAGACGAAATGTTAACACAGGTGGGTATTGGAAATCAAAAGAAAAAATGTTTTTAATAGTAATAATTATTTAAATAGAGTGATTCAGTGATTTTACGGTAATATTCTGTAAAAGTTACGGTTTATAAGATTTTTTTGTTCTGTAACATGTCCTGTAAAATGGATTCTATGATAAAAAATACCGGCACTTCCTGTAATTTATTCCAGAATTTTTAACAGTGTACGGAGTTGTAAGACCGGGTAGTCTGGCCTTGACTCCAGTTCTTAATTAAATCTCTTTGTCTTTGTTTTCTTATTTTTCTTTAAAAATATTTGGTAGACAGCATACAATTGTTTGTTCAGTTTAGAGTGGGCTAATTTAAGTTCGTCAAGCAATAATTCGCAATAATCTTCATATTATTGTGCTAACGTTGCGGTAAAAATGCAGTATTTCCGCAGCAAAAATATAAATACATAAAACAATGCGTTTTTCTAAAAATATTATAAAAATGAAAGTTTTTTTTAATCATTTAACTTTACTACATGAATATTTTTTAATTACAGGATCAACCTAGACTAAATAGACCATTTCTAAAATAACAGAAATGTAATAGTTTCGAATTGAACATTAGCTAATCTAACGTTTTACGTTATTGACAATAAAATTTTTTATAAATTTAATAGCGACAAGTCATTCCAATGATAAGAATTTTTACGCTTGGAAAATTTTTCAATACAATCATCGATCAAACAAAGCAATCAATTTCCAAGTATATAGATAAATGAAATAAATAAATAAACAAATAAATATAAATAAGCAAAAAGTTTTTAGTAAGGAATTTTTTATTTATTTATTTAGATTTTTTTAATAGAGTTAATTTGTGAAAATAAATATTTTTAAGAATAATAGGATACAAACAGCTGAGAATTGAATTTCGAGAAATAATTTGTTTAAATTATTTCTTGATTTGAAATACATATGTTGACATAAATGTATATTTTGAAACTAATACAGCAGTTATTAATTATTTACTTCTTTCCACGAATTAAGCTCAAACTTTTAATACTACGATGCATAACAATTAGCATATAATCTGAGTATTTTAATAGTAAAAATATGGGGGATTGATCTCATTTTATTCTTTGTTTGTAAAGTCTGGATTTTTCGTGACTAACTGAAAATTATAGAGTTAATTTAATAGTTAATTAATAATTGTATTCAATTTCTTACAAAGTTTTATTATAACAGAATTCAGCAAACGTTATACTTTTTTTACAATATCTTTAGTTCATAACAAAACAAAAAAAGAAAAAAAAATTTACATGAGGATAAAATATATTGTTAATTTATGTTCCTTGGAATATAGCCGTTTTTTTGGAAAAGAATATAATGTTATTAAAGAAAAGTTCTATACTTACCTTATAATATTCTTTTAAACTACACAGGATTCTTTTTTCAAACAGTGATTTCTGAAAAAAAAGTATATGTTAAATTCTATCAAATGAAATAAATAAAATCTTAAATGAAATATTTAATATTATGGTATGAAAATATTGTATTAATGCAGGGTAAGTAACTTCTTGAGGGTTGTATTCCAGTTCCAAAACGCAATAAATAAATAAATATATAAAAACTATGAGTTTAAAATTTAAATTTGTACATTCCTACAATCATGAACTAGAATTAATATGGTTATTTAAAAATAAGTATCAATAATTTAAATAAATTATTTAATTAAATTATATAAATTATTAATTTAAATAAATTATTTGAAAATCATTAATTGCGATGACTGCAAATCGAATTTAGTTAAGTTTTTTGCTGATAAAGACCAGAAGATTATTATGTTGCTACCAGAAACATGACAAAAAGTCATCAAACACAATAAAAGATATTTGACTAATTAAAGTTTATTAATTTATTTTAAAAAAAAACTGAGTTTTATCTCACAATAAAAACCAAAATTACTTTCTTGCAAACCCAAAATATTAAATATTTGAAAAGCTTTCTTAATTTTTTTTTTCTTTTATAGTTCTTAAAAAGATAGTTCAATGGCATTTAATATCTTTTTTTAGTTCGAATACGAAAGTTTCAAACCATTAATACCCGGCTACAAATTTTGAAATGGCGTAGAAAGTGCAAGGAGAAAAAATCCGGTAAAAAGTTCTTATAGCCACATATTTAGTAAAAAAAAATACAAAACTGAAAAGACTTAACCGAATAAATGTTTTTTATGACATGCTCTAAGGAGTCATGATAAAATTACAAAAGTTATCGCATTTACCATAGTTCATTGTTAAATAATTAGTTACCAAAATCATGACCGATTTGGTAAATATTACCAAGCTTTGATGCTTTCATTCAAACACGGTTATTCTGTTAGTTTAGAGCATATCTTTTTTCGGTGATGCAAAACTGAACGACATTAATATTTGTCAGAACTGAAAAGTTCATTTGAAAGAATGAATAGTTCTTATGTCATGATCTAAGGTATCGGTATAAAATTACCACATTTTCCAGTTTTTATCACATATTATAAAGCCACATTTTATTGTTATTTTTACCAAAATCATTATAAAATCGCTTCCGCAAAAAATTACCAAGCTTTTCATTGCTCATACAGAGCCAGAAACACGGTGAATGTTACCATATTCTGGTCTTTCAGTGTAGGTAAAATGTAATACTTTGGTATATTTTGTACTTAATTACACTGCATCAATGCTGTGCAATTTGAACTTTGAACATATCCAAGTCAAAATTTTTGATGACTTTCCATTGATGGAGCAACATATTCTTGATGGTAATCATCAATAATTCCATCATGAACCATTACATTATTTGATGGTAACCTACATAAGTAACCATCATCTCAATGTAAAAATTCGGACTAATTCATGATGGTTCGACATAAGAATAGCAACTTGTTTTGATGGTTTGTTCATTTGAATCATCAGAAATTTCAATCATAGTTTCTTAGAAATCAAATGTTGTAACAATCATAAACCACCATCAGCCCAATGTAGGAATTTGGGCTGATTCCCAAATTGTTTTGATAGTATATTCCTGCTGAACCAACAAGAATTATTATTAAACCATTACGGAAATGCATTGTTGTACCATTATGGACCATCACGAATTTCCATCATAGTATCTTAGAAATCAAATGTTGGAACGATTATGAAAAACCGTCATCCCAATGTAGGAATTCGGACTGATTTATGATGCGTCCAACTTAAAAACTCAAATTGTCTGGATAATATATTCCTGAGAATCAACAAGAATTCCCATTAAACCTCATGAAAATGTATAGTTGGAACCATCATGGATTTTTGGTCCATGAGAGTTAAGCTTCTCTTGATGATTAACCATCATAGTATTAAAGTGGCTATCCATCATGGAATAATGGAAGTTTGTTAGCATATCAAAAACCATGATCACATAATGGGAAATGTTGGATGATAGTGACCATCAAAATGATGTTGGACCATCATGAGGCATACTGAAACCAACATAAACCATCAAAATTTTTTGATGGGACCCTCAAGATTTTGACTTGGGTAGATACTGTGGAAACATCTTTACTTTTACAATGCCATATCCTAAAAGTGAAAGATACTTTATTATTTTTAATGAAATCTCAGCTGCAGTCTGTACGATTTTTACTTACTTAAACCATTAGCTGTATACTAAAATTTTACTTCTATTTTCAGTACATAATCTAACCAATCATTTTACTATTAGTTTAAGTTTATCTTTCTCTGCAAACAGAAAAAAAAGGATGTTTTTCCTTCCTTAACAAAACTTGGGGATGTGTAGCCCACCTCACACTCCAAATCGAATGTAGGTCAGTGGTTCTGAAAAGAACAATCTCATGAATCGTCTGCTCTTCCCTCACTGAAGTTCCGTCGACTTAGGGGACTGGGTGAGTTTTTTTTTTTTTTTTTGTTCCATTCCGCACAATAGAGAAGCGGGGGTGTCTTCTCTATAGAAATAAATGAAATTTAACGGTGACCGTAATTTCTTGGAAGAGAGGGAGTCCATCTGTCACCTCCTTCAAGTTTGAGGGGGTGAAGTATAAGTCGATTAAAAGAACTTCTTTTCTTGATCTTGCCCTTGTATCATATATTTTTTTCGGAGAAGTATCCCAGCTGCACCCTCAATTCGAAATAAATAAACTGGAGCGTGCCTGTTTTTTGTGCCAGGGGTTTTCCTGTTGTTTGTTGACCCACCGGCCTGTTTTTTTATTCCTTAACGCGCGTGTGTACTTCAAAAACCTATTTCAATAAACAGCTGTATTATAGACATATAAGAAAGGAATGAACCATAGAGAATCAGTATTCTATTTTTGTAAATCAGTATTTTTACTAAAAAATAAAACAGAGTATAAGTTTTAACTAACAAGACAAATTAACAAGATTAATTAACAAGACAAAACCGGCATGAAATATTTCCTATCATTCAAAAATTGAATTTAAATTTCATCTAAACCTTTTCTCAATAAATATAGACGTTTAAATATTTTTTTCAGTAACCGAATTTAAACAAAAATCATTAATTATATAAATAAATAATTTTTCTTTAAGTGCTCATTTTATTTATACAAATAACGAAATTGTTGAAAAGCAAAGATACAGAATTTAAAGTAATGATGTCAGTTACCAAAAGTATGCGTTAATAATTTTTTTCGACCAAATTTCTTTACATTTCTAAAGTTTATATTAAAGGATAGTAATGAACTTGGAAATTATAGTTATCTACACTTTAAAAAAGTTCCGGATCCAATTATGGTATAAATTACCGGTATTTTGGGTGCATCATCCGTAAAATCCATTTTTACCGTAAACTATTATATCGTGATTTTGCAGTATTTATCTAATTAGAGTGATTTAGTGATTTTACGGTTATTATTACTGTAAAATTAACGGTATGTCATGTTTTTGTCCCTTAATTGAATTTTACGGTAAAAACCAGCACCCTGATTGCCAATACTTTTTACAGTATTTGATATTAATTTCTAATTAATTTGATAGTAGTATTCATAAATTTCGTAATTTGAAAGTAGCATTCATAGATTTCTTCTTATTCACAGTATTTCATAATTTCTGATTACTCTTTATTATTTGGTGCCGAGAAGAAGTGCCCAGTAGCGACTCTAAATTTTTTTAACATTTCTATTTTAAAATTTCATTTTGGTAAGAAATATTTAATCAGTTTTCTAAAAATAATGAAACAAGGAACAATTTCATTTTTTAGTGGATCAAATTTAACACAATTCGAAGATTTTTTTAAGAATAAAGGATTAACTTGTAATAACTAGAATAAGAACTGGAATAAGAATTAATGAAGATTTTTTTTAAAGAACTATCAGCCTTATCATTATAGAATTCGGCTACTAATATTCATAAAAATTGCCAATATATAGCAGTTTGAGTTCCTTAATGCTAATTTAATTTGTCTGAGACGGATAAAACCTAATTTTGAAAAAAAATGCACACAAATGTAAAACTCATTTATCTAAAGAAAATATTTTCAAAAATACATTTTTAGAATATTTTTTTTCAATTTATTAAAGATCGAAAAAAAAATTGAATTAAATTTGCCATTGCAGTCCTATGTTGACATTGAAGAACGAAGGCAAATTTATTATGTCTGTCTGAGTTGAACACAGGACCGCAAAGATTCAAGTGTTCTATTTTTTTCCTTTTCGTAATATATTCATCCAAATTTTTTTTCTAAACCATTGTTTCATAATGTGTGAAAGAAGCACAATAAATTAGTAACATTTCTTTTGGTGAACTAACTTTTTGCATTCTAAAAATAAAAAAAGGCGACAAATATTCTCGATTTATCTACAATTTCATTACTAAGTAACCAGCATTAACCATCTAAACCATTGTTTCATAATGTGTGAAAGAAGCACAATAGAAGTCCTGAATTTAAGAGGTTAAAGATGTAAAAGCAATTTTAGTGAGTGTGATCACAATAAATTAGTAACATTTCTTTTGGTGAACTAACTTTTTGTATTCTAAAAATAAAAAAAGGTGACAAATATTCTAGATTTATCTATAATTTCATTACTAAGTAACCAGCATTAACCATCTAAACCATTGTTTCATAATGTGTGAAAGAAGCACAATAGAAGTCCTGAATTGAAGAGGTTAAAGATGTAAAAGCCATTTTAGTGAGTGTGATCACAATAAATTAGTAACATTTCTTTTGGTGAACTAACTTTTTGTATTCTGAAAATAAAAAAAGGTGACAAATATTCTCGATTTATCTACAATTTCATAACTAAGTAACCACTTCTAAGAAACAAATATTATTTGTTCCGTGTGAATATTTAGAATGCAAACAATTAAAACGGGGAAATTTGTTCCACAAGAATTGCTGTTGGCGACACAAGTATGGAACATGGAACAGACACCCCACCCAATATCAGCGACTTTTTTTTTCCTCGCATACTCTTGTG